TATATATATATATATATATATATATATTTCTATATTAAAATCTCCTTCTAGTCAAAATAGGCATTTCATTGTTGTTGGCCCTTACTGTGTCAAAGTTCAAACGTACTTTCAGTAGCAGCGCTGAACTAATGTCTACATTCTCTACTCTTATGGAATCTCTCTCGCTAAACCTGGCTTTTGTGGCAAGTTATTTATGGATGTATGTTTAAGACTAGTATTTCTCAACACATTCTTGCATTATACTAGTAGTCTTAAAATTTGCCTCAAAACTCACAAGTTTAAAAACCCTTACAATGTGGGTGTAGGCTAAGTCATGAAATACATGTGATGTATACTGATATTAACAAACTTAATATAGCCTTTGTGTTGGTCATTGCCACAAAACTTAACTTACCTATAATGCTCAACAAATTTGACTATTTCTTCTACAAATTCTCTTGTTAGTAAAAACACTGCTCTATCGCCTCTTTGCGTGAAAGAGTAGAATGCTATTGTTGAATCATGCTTTGCCTGTAGACTCATATCTCAATGGTAGAGCTAGCAAAGAAGCAAATAGTTAATTGGAGAGGCAAGACTGAATGAATGCGCTATCATTTTTTTTGGTTAATGACTCGATAGAATGATCACTTTGCATTAACTCTTCGGCTTTATATAGGGGTATTTCTCTATAAATTTTATATAGGCCATGATTACACTTAGAGCTTTAGGGATCTATGGGTGCTCAAAAGTTTCATTTATTGTATCAATGTATATTTTATATTATCTTCGTTATCTTATCTTTTGTTGATGTTGTATTCGAGCTTTCATGCACTTCAACAGGTCACATCTGGTGTTCGCTTAGTCCAATGCTTTAAAAAAATCACTCTGAGGCCACTCGTATCTTAGGGTGAATAGGTGTTGGACTTATGTGATATCATAAGCCATTCAAAGTGGTTTTTGGCAAGGCAACAAAATTTTGAAGCATCTCATAGGGATGGTGCTCATCGTGAGGTCGCATGCATATGACTAGAAACAACGATGATGGGTTAGTAAGAGTCCAAGCAAGCGTAGCATGCCTTTTATCAATCTAATTCATCCAAAGATCCAATCCAAAAATAGATTAATACAATCTATTGGATCCAAGAAGTTGATAACAACTTATTGGACATGGATTTTGAGTATGAGCAGCTTGATATGGGTGACCACACGACGACGCTGCCCTTATGAGACACTTGGTGACTTCGCCACTTAGCTAAAGATAAAATGTCAGATGGTCTTAGATGTTATGCAAGTCTATAACTTATTCACCCCAAGAGGCAAGCGGTCATAGAGCGAGCTTTTAAGACAAGCAATCGAACAAATACTAGAAGTGACCTAACAAAGTCTTGATCCATAAATGTTAAGTAGCACATGTTTCACGCAAGTGCACATATCAATAAAGTAATATAAGTATTTTGAGTCTGACGAATTATCAAGAGTCAGATTTTAGGTTATACCAAGTATTGATCTGCTAGATTTTAGATTTATTCAATAAGACAAGTTTAGATAAAAAAACAAAATTTCAAAATGTAAAAGTAACTAAATAATTAATAGTTTTCAGGTTTTGATAGAAAACTCTATTGGGTTAGTGAATTACTCAAGTTTAAATCATCCAGATGTTCAATTATTCATTAACAACCAGGGCTATCTACTGCTTAATCCCTATCGAGTTTTAAGAAGCCTTAGAGTTTCATATTATAATTTAATCTCTTGAAACATGCAAAAAAACTCACAAGAATTATCTTTCTTCCATGCATTTACAACTCTCTAATGGTATTATGCTTATTTCACTAAAAAATTGTGTTAACCTAATTGTTCCATTATTTTATCATTGAAATATCTAGTTCACGATATAATTTAACAAACAAACAACCAAATCAATAATAAATATAATGCAAAAGTTTAACTTGCCAAATTGATTCAATAAATTCCACAAGCATAGCTTGGATTAGTAAAAATTGCAAGCAAACACTAATCTAGAGAAGTTACTCACTTACAAATTATTTTCTCAAACATAAAGCAAAAATGTATAAAACTAAATCAAAATTATAAAAAATGTAACAAGAAAAGACCCATAATGCTTTCCACTTGAAATCTTCTCAATCCTTTGTAAAGCTCCTTTTAAATGCTCACCCCAAACTCATTCTCACGATCTAAAATCTCATGGAAAGTACTCTCACTCACATGTAGATCACAAACTCCACACTATGTTCCACCACCCCTTTCCTCCGTCCCAAACCCCCTTTTTATGCAATTCTTACTTTAACTGCACATGAAATTGTTAAAACCACTTACAGTCTAGCAAGAGCGCCACAACATCACGATGTAGCATTGTGTTACTACATTAGAGTGTTGAGACACTACTAGTGATAATAAACATCAGAGTTGTGTTGAACTTAGTAGTAGAGAAAAAATATAGATTTGAAGTAGATGGATGTGAAGATAAGTTGGAAGATGAGCTATATATGGTGCAACTACAGTAATATACAGTTCCATGAAAAGAAAAAAAAAATGATATGTTGATTGAAGAAAAACCTTTATGGACTAAAACATGCCTCAATATACATGTGATTTGCCAAGCTTATTTCAGATAATGGGTACATGAAGTGTCAAGTTGTGGTACGTCGGTTAACCATTAGTTAATGTAAACTTTCGTTAAATCCATCGGTATTTTAATTATTGATAAATGTCATTGTTACGTCAATTGTATCGTAGCTAAATTGCAATTAAATATATTACATATGATTTATCTGTTATTACCGACATTATTTGACCGTCGGTAATAAACTAAATTCTTATAGTATTAGTTGGCTAAAAAGGCCACTTTTTAAGACAACTTGAAGAACATTTACCTAAGGTATCACTTTATTCGTTTACTTCTAGAAGAAGATAAACTATCTTTGACATACAACTAAGAATCTTACAGATATGTTGACTTTAAGATGATTAAAATTGAGAAATTGAAGCCTTGCTTAGCTTTCCTTGAAGTTCAAGAAGGCTGAGACTGGGAGTGAGTCACACTACAATACACGATTATGAAAATGGTGCAAGTTTGGAGGAGAGGTGATTGCAATGAATCTTCAACTGGAAGATGTATTTCAATGCTTAAAAGAGGCAATATTTTTATAAGAATCATGTGCTATGTATGTAAATGCCCCCGTTAATTTACAGTAGCCTAAAATACCTAAAATGCGGCTATTCTTTCTAGACATCACGTGTAACTTAAAAAGCCTTGAACATTATTTAGTCCCTGATGGCTCGAGACAGCCTATCTCCGCCCTTATTTTTAATTTATCACTGTAGCTTTCTATATTTTATTGCCATACTTTTACTTTTAATTTGGTTAATTACAAGAAGATAATATAATATAAAAAATATTTAATTCAAATATTCTAATAATAATTTTTAACTTTTTATTAATTAAATTCGCGGGAGCCTAGCTCAACCTTTTACCATTATTTTATATTTTATTTATATACTTTACCCTTAAAAAAATTAAAATAATAATATGTTTTTATGTGATATAAGAAATTTATATGTTGATTGGGTGACATGTGCGCCCCTTTTAATTTTTCAAATAATTTCTCTTATTTTTAGCTTATTTTAACTTAAAGGTATTTACATGCCTATCATTGATATTTAATATTTAAATTTTATTTTATTTATATATATATATATATATATATATATATATCTCTAAAATTATTTATATCACATCAAAAATATCCTAGGTGCTAGACTTGTAAATATGTAGAAATTGAGTGGTGTGAAAGTAAATCTTCAAAATTGGAATTATACAATACTAAAGCAAGCATGACTGCATGAGGCAACTACTCCCAACTCATTTAAAAGATAATTATTTAATATTATTAAACAATCCTCAAATTCAATATTTTTGTTAAATTATCATATAATATTGATAAAATGTTTATGGATTCTATCTCTGTTCCCATCAAAATTGCAGTCTTTGGAATGCAGTCAAACTTTGTAATAAAGACTCCACAGAGGGACAGAGAAGGAGAGTTATGAAATTCTGAACTTAAATGATTTACAGTTTAAGAAAGACAGACCCCTTTCATCTTCTCCGCTCTTCTCTCATCGCATGAACTCCTCCGCGCCTTCACTGCAAGAAAAATCCATAATTTCTGTGCCTGATTTTAGTCCACAACTACCCACCATTACTTTGATTTCTCTGTTACACTGAACCCCCATCAACAGCCACTCTTCCCTTCCCTTTTGACCTTGCATCTCTCCACCATCTCCTCACTTTCTAATAACCTCTTCCATTATTTCTCTTGAATTGATCAGTACAGCCACTGACATCAAACCGACTCCTTTTTTCCTGTCATCTCTGTATCTGATGACCAACCATCAATCATGGATGAAGAGAACCAAATGAGCATTCCGCTGCTCTTCAGATGCCCCATTAGCCTCGATCTCTTCACCGATCCAGTAACTTTAAGTACCGGCCAAACATACGACCGGTCAAGCATCCAGAAATGGATCTCCGCCGGCAACTCCACCTGCCCCGTCACAATGCAGAGACTCGCAGACTTCACCCTCGTTCCTAACCACACTCTCCGCCAATACATCGACCGCTGGCTCCTCCGCGGCGTCGCCGACCATCAAAACACGCAGCAAGGTTCAGGCATACCGCTCTCCTTAACCATCCTGAAAGCCAGTCTTCTGTCATACGAAACGCCGCTAGCGGCGAAACTTCAGGCGCTCAGAAAGGTCAGAATTATATCAAATGAATCCGATGTCGGCAAGTTTTTTTTGAACCAATTAAATTACTTCCCAGTTCTCGTTCAGTTGGTGTTCCAATGCCCATTAGAAACGCTCAATTTGGAGCATGTAGAGCTCGCTCTGGACTGCATTCTGTGTCTTTCTCCATCAACCAATTTGAGTTACCTCAACGTTCTGAAACAAGGCGCCGCCTTTTCTTCCCTTGTGATTCTATTCGAGCAAGGAAGTTCAAAGATGAAAACTTTATTGTGCATTCTAATCGAATCGATTGCTACTTCAACAACAATGAAGGAATTATGCAACCTTCTCGGCCGATCCCGGCCTGTTCTTCGGGTTCTCGTCTCGTTGCTAATGCAGAGCAGAATGCTAAGGCAGGGCAGAACCAACGAGCAGGCGTCGGGGGCCGCGGCCGCCGCCATGGCGGGCATATGCACATCGGTAGAAAGCAGCCGTATCGATGCGATTAAAGAAGGAGCGGTGGAGGGACTGGCCGAGTACTTGTCGACAGATGATCGACGAAATGCCTCCAGCGCGTTGGCGGCTATGGAGGTTTTGATGGGGGAGGAGATTGGGAGGAAGGCAGGAGTTAAGGTTGGGGTGGTGAGAGTAATGGTGAAATGGGTGTTCCAGGTTTCGGCAAAGGAGGAGGGGAGCGAGCGAGCGGTGGGAGCCTTAATGGCGATGTGCCGAGGTTCGTCGAGGGCGAGGAAGGAGGCGGTGGCTGCTGGTGCGGTGACTCAGCTGTTGTTACTGCTCCAGAGTCAGTGTGGCGGTACAACAAAGGCAGGAGCCAGAGCGCTTCTTAAGCTTTTGAGGTCCTCTTGGGAAGAAGACAATGAGAGGAGATGCTGAATTGGTTTTCATCTTCATTGCTGTAAAAATTTCTTCATTATTTCGCCTCCTTATACATGTTTGATGATCCTGATGATTTTGTGTTTATTATATAGTTGTATGATATTAAGATTGAATGAGCTAAAAAAATTAATTAATGTTGCACTTAAAACGTAAAATGTTCCTTTCAATCATAGCACCTAAAATTTTCATATATAAAAAAAAAATCATCTACAAATAACTTTATTTTTCCATCTATAAATAAAGTATTATGTGTGTAAAAAATGAAGTGGTATAGCTAAATTCATGAGAGTTTGGCGTCTCCTTTTAAAAAAAAAACTTTAATTTTTGACCTGGTAGCTTGACAGCACTGCTGAGTAGAAAGCTGCGGTATATGCCGTCGGATTGAAAAGGTATATAATCACTGTTCATTTCAGAGGAATCTCTCGTAGCTCTCTTCATTTTCTGCCCAATGGATAAAAGTTTTCACGCCAAACGAATGGTGCTTTCTTCTTTATTTTCCTATGTGAAAGAGTTAAAAAGTTTTTTAATTTTTTTTTTTTTTTTTTTTTTTTTTTACATGAAAAGTATATCTGTGTTTAGTTTGGGGAGATCTGATGATCAAAAAAAAAAAAAAAAAAAAAAAAAAAAAAAAAAAAAAAGGGGGACTAGAAAGCAGTGCCCACCGATTGATTGAAGATCATAAGCCCCACTTTTCCGACCAAATGTACTCACGCGAGCCAACGCTAAAGGCCCACCGGGTGTAAGTGTAACTGTCGGAGCCAATATCGAATGCCGACATAGCTAAGAGAAAGAAAAAAAGACGATTGAATGACTTTAATCTGAACTAATCAAGCAAGAACAAAATAAATATGCATCCAAGCCAACCATTACAAGAAAGCCAACGAAATTCATGAACTCATTCAATATGAGAAAATTTCCAATTTCTCAATATTACTAACCATGCAACGAACATCCCCAAGGCTCTTTATCAAAGATCAATAATTAATAATACAATAGTCTTATAGTCATCCCATAAAAATGAAGCTTATTTTATGAATAGACATGACAAGTTACTCTTCATTAATGTTCACTCTTCTGTGTACCTCCCTCTCTCTCAACCCTTTCTTGAGCACTATTCCTTGAGGTGTATCATGTATCACAAATCAGGATTCAACTATTATTATTATTACTATTTTGAATGAATTACTTCTATATTAATTTGTTCTACATTTTAAATTTGGTAACTAATTAATGGAGTTACAAAGGAAAATTAACAACTCATGTAATAATATTTTCATGGGAGAAATGAGTCATCCACATAAAAGCAGTCTTAAAGCTTGATCTTGTGGGAAGCTCATTCATTTATAATATATTTAGATGCCTTTTTTTAGTAAATGAGGCCATGTGAAATGCTCTCTTTTTCTTTACAATCACGTGGATTGCACTCACCCTTATCATGGTAAAGTCATTCATGCGGTTCAACTCTCAATTTAATTCTTAAACACTAACACCAAATTAGGGATTTTAGTTAGTCACCCTAGAATCTCCAATTCCTTGCCCAGTAATATATATATATATATATATACCTATCTATACATTTTTTTTTTAGGGCACCACTAAAACACCAACAATAAAAATATTTTCAAAATTTTATTATAATTTAATAGTTTGAGTTATTTGTATACTCTTTATTATTATTGTATAAATAATTTTAGACTTATATTTAATATTAAAATAATTTAAATTGTTTGCTATGAACACTATACACCTTATTTTAAATGAAAATGGACCAATGTTGATGTGCCTTGAGTGTTGTCTAAATTTTGGCTAAAGTCCATCATCTTAGTCATCAAATCATGACTTTTTATGATTTTATGCTTTTATTACCATTATGACTTATATTCATTTTTGCTATTTTAGTTAGAATATAATGAATTTTGATTTGTGATGATATATCTACATCACCTTTATGAATAATACATGTCTTTATATATTTTGATTTTAATATTTAGGTTTATCATTATATTCCAACGACTTATTGTATAATGAATATTAACTCATGTTTTTTTTATCACTTATTACTACATGAGTTGCCTATAATTTAATTTATTGAATACAATTATTTCGTATCTTAAAGTTTTACTTAGATGCATAATCTTTCATTTAAGCTGTGCACATTATGCTAACTATAAGGTGGGGCCCAAAATCATAAGATGTGGACCCAAGATGGAGCCCCACAAGCATAATAGGAGGACTTATGGTGGGGCCCACAAATACAGGAGGTGGACCCGATGTAGGAACCACAAGCACTAAGGCGGGACCCACTACAAGAGACTAAGCCAAGTTAGATGCCTCATATTCAGCTGAACTAATTATCAAGAGGTAAATGAAGAAAATTTAAGACAGAGAGAAAGTTTCATCTAATTCCATATAAAATTAAGTTGTATTATATTTATTTTATGTATTTTGAGCAAATGTGTACTATAGACTTGTAAGGATTTGTTTGTGTGAACTCAAGTGTGGGTGGTTGATTTATGAGCTTAACCATGGGTGATGAAACCCCTATGGCTCGCCATAGTAGAGAGGAAGTGGGTGAGAGGCCATGTAAGGGAGTGGGGAGAGTGGAAGGGTGGAGGAAGTAAGCAATTACAAAATTAGTGGGATAATGAAGAGTTATGTGGATTTATATAATTGTAAATTTTATTTAAATGTTTTGTGTGGACTGAAGTGGGGGGTTATGTTGTGAAAAGTTTGTTGAGAATTTCAGAGAAAAGCTCAAGTGATGGAGGGCCTTGGTGGCTTCTTCAAGAGAAATGGTTTTGTGATTATTACCCATCACTAGACTTTGGTGAGTTTGATGATTTATATAATTTTATCTGTTCAAATTTTTTATGATTTATTTTGGTGAAATGTTTAAGTGTCATTAAATAATATTTTGAGTCTTATTGTTTTTTTTTTCTATTCATATTTAGCCCACCAAAATCCCATCTTAATCTTCATTACATATGTTGCTCTGAATTATTCTTAATCCTACCTATTCAGGGTTTTGGCATCATTTGGGTAACCTAATATGCTTTAAAAAAAATTCAATTGTATGCATCTTGCAAATTAATTTTCATATAAAATTTGCCCTTTCTTGTGCTTTTATTCAATTCAAAAGTTCAAAAGTGAAACTACAGTTTCTTATCTGTGCGGTTCCCAATTTTTTTCTCCACTTTTCAATTATTAAGAAGACTAAAAAATCATAAAAATTTGTTGATATAAACTTTGGCATATTTTTCATCATTCTTAATTGGAATTATTAATTTTTATATTTAATTTAAAATATGGAATAAAATTAAAAGCATTTGTCAATTCTGCCTAGATTTGACCAAGCTCAATCACCCTACAAAATCCTCTCCAAACACCCCCATCCACAACAAATAATTCCCATACATCCTTTTAAGCATTATCCTAAAGTTTCACATGAAGCTTTTTACGACCACACCAAGTTTGGTATCAAACCAATTTTAGCTCATAAAAATTAAATCATAGTTAGGGTTTTGGTTTCATATTGGAGACCTAATCCATTTAGAAAAATATCATAATTTTTAATATTAATTTACATTACTTGTAGAATAATTCTCATGTAAATTTCATCTTTTTTTGTGCTTTAGGTCGGTTCAAAAATCCAAAAATGGAACCATAGTTTTCTTTCTATTCAGTTCCCATTTCCTGATTCACCACCTTGTAATTATATAAAAAAAATATAAAAAAAAAAACTCAAAATCATAAAAAGTTTGAGATATGATATTATCATTTCTCACTCAATCACCCTATGAAATCTTCTTCAAACACTCCCATTCACTTCAAATCATTCCTACACATCCTTTTAAATCTTCTCCTAAAACTTCACAGGAAACTTTCCACCACCACACCACTATTCCAATCCTGCCTCACGGTATGTCACCCAATATATTCTTGAACTCAAATATTTACTTTGTTATCTTAAGCAATAAGAGTACACATTCTTGCTCATTTCTATGATTATTTTCTTGCGTACCATATTCAATGAGACATACAGGTGGTAACTATTCATATTAATGAAGAAGAAGAAAAAAAGGTGCAGTTAAGAGGAAGAAAAGAAGACGAAAAATCAACATCACCACTGCCATAAATATGACCAACCTATCAATATCTATAGAATACTTGGATGGATCTTTTTTTTTTCTTTTTTCAATCTTAAATTAGATAAACATTTTGATGGATAAAATAAGAGGTGGTAGCAGTGCTAGTAGCAACTACATTACAACGATCATGTTCGGTTCAAGGTTTTGATAATGTGAGAGACTTTAGGTGCTAAGCACATCGGTCTAAGTCAAAGATTATTTGTAGCTTAAATTATTTTATATATGTATATTTCTTTTTTTTTTTTTTTGTCTTGGTTACTTGTATCTGGAGGTCTCAAATAGGGTTTGTGGGCTTGGTTCAGGTCTGACTCAAAATTGATCTGACATGAACTCGACCCAAATATAAAAAGAGTTTGAATATGCAACATGACCTATCCTCAATCTGCTGATGAGAACTCGACCAGCATAACCCGTTTTACATGAGACATAACAGCAATTTGAGTAAAATTATGATCTATTTCGAGCCAATATTGAGTTAATTTTGAGTCAACAAGTAAATTTTGATTTAATTTAGAGTTAGCGGGTCCGCGAACTTGAATTGCAACATTAAAAGAGCTAGGATTCATAATACACATGAATATAACTGACACATACCCTCATTTATTGGTATATTGGATAAGGCTACGACCAATTTAACCTTTTACACTATAAAGCTTATCATATCAATTTGTTGGTAAATATATATTTTCGTGAAAGCAATGTGAGTAATTAATTAATGTGCATCATATAAACATGCATAAATCCACCTTCATACAAAATATATTCAGGCACTTTTGATTGACACTCAAGCTTATCAGCTCTACTAAATATTTATGTATTTACATATGTAGCACCTAATGTTTAATATTTACACTTATAGCATCTTGGTGTCAAAAATGACATATTCATATATTTCACTTTTAAGAAAATAGCGATAGCGTTACTTTAGATGTGATGTTAAAAATTTGTGTGATTTGCATGTAAATATGAATGCGTAAGTCTTAGATATATGTAAATACATAAGAATTGTGTGGTTTGTATGTAAATGCCATTTTTTGTACACTAAATAAAATTAAATTATGAGTTTCTTAAGCATTGTCTTCAGCATCTTCTTCATGGAGCCACATATTCAATGAATGCATCTATGTATGTTGCACAACCATCCTTGAAGTTGAGGAATAGTTTAATAGCTAGGTGCTCCTAAACATCCTTAATTAAGATATTTTAACTAAACATTCAATGGATTATCTCCCACATGATGGAGAATTAATTTCTTTATTTTGCCGTAATCGTATTTGATTTGCATACTAACCTCAATGTAAGAATCATTTGACTTGTTTTATATTATATAAACTATAATCTACATGTTTGGGCTGGGATGGGCTTCGGCCTGGCAAGCTTGTTTCGCACTGCCCAAGTGGCCCGATTGAAACCGGAGGATCAGAACCACTGTATGCCCGCATTAGGTATGAGATATGGCCATTTCTTGTTTAGGATTAAGAAGATTTGTATAACTCCAACAACAACTACTTGAAAAAACAAATTTTTTCATATGAACTTTATAATCACACTTACAAAAGGTTACAGCCATCCCAAATGAATCTTCCAAATCAACCTTCAAGATGAAGTATAATTGTAAAAAAGAATTACAAGTAAAATACTTATTAATCACCATAACTGATTATATATATATAAATGTATAATGTTAGTGTTAGGTGAAACGAAACGAGGGATTTACTGATTGACAATTCCTTAGCAGATCATTAAATGTGCATAGTTCGTGAACTGCACCCACCTAACAATGATTTCCATAACTAAAAAATGACGATATAATTACATAAACCACAAGTTATCTCCCTCCCACATTAAAAATATAAGAAAAAATTTAGTATGGAGATCTTCTGTTACAAAGTGTTTCGTGAAAGACAACCATCCAAAAATATATTCTTTCTGCTTTCTCTAATCCTGAAAAACTTGTTCAGGAAACAAATTGAGTATATAACTTTCTAATTATAATTAATCTTCACTAATTAATCCTTACCCACGCCTAAAAAATCTATGTAAGCAACACCCTTACTCTTCACACTTCCATCATCATCTTTCTCTTCCTGATTATGCTCATCCAACCCACCAAATCTCCAATAAGTATTGGATGAGTTAGAGAGCTTTTGAGCCTGTCGATGATGATCAGAGCTCTCCATTAAACCAAAATCATAGTTAAAATTATGAAACTGAGTACTAAAAATTTGGTTTTGATAACATTCCTTGGTGAGGAAAAACTTGGACTTTTGTCGTTGCCTTCTGGCCATGATAACATGCCAATGGTTCTTGACGGCATTGTCGGTCCGGCCGGGGAAAAGACGAGCTATGAGAGCCCATTTGTTGCCGTGGAAGCGATGGGCAGTAACGAGTGTCTCTTCTTCTTCTTCGGTGAATGGTCTTCGGTTGATTCTAGGGTCTAGTTGGTTGAACCACCTTAACCTGCAGCTTTTCCCTTAGACAAGTAGGGATGCAATACGTTCAGTTTATTAATTATCCAAATATAAACAAAAAAATAAAGATTAATTAAGTTGATGTATTCATTCAAAGTCATCTTATAGCTTGTGGGCTGATAAAAAAGGAGAGAACATTACATACGAAGTCCACAATAGTATTGTACATTATTGTACAACATGTATTTAACAGTGTACAACACAGTTCTGCATGGAGTCCATATACATATACATACAGAGTTCGCATGTGAGATCTTTAGCTTGAGGAGATTCAAATCTTACGTGGTGACTGGATGGAAGATTTGGCATTTATGTATTATATGTTTGTTTTACAATTACAAATGTTTATAATGCAAAATATACAAACTTATGCATTACAAAGAGTGTTTCAGCTTCAATAAGTAGATAAAAATGATATTTTTTGATGAGTTATTAAGGATTTGAGTGAGTGTAATGTCTGTAAATATTGAAGTTTATGTGCTGAATATATAAATACATAAGAAATGTGTGGCATTTATGTTAATAGGTTCATACAAAATTATTTTTAACACAGGAAAAGAAAAATATTAATTCAAAATGCATTGAAATTTGTAGACAGCATTTGTGTAATAATGACTTTTAACCTTTAGATGGGAAGTCGAAAAACTGGTCATGATCATAGGTATATAGGTATATAGCATGCAGAAGTTGGTATGATACATGCGAAATAATATATGCATTCATGTTCCTATGCGCGCACCTGATCTACCCTGCAGTTTCTGTGCGATGGAGTTCCAGTTCTGAGGGCCGAACTGTTGAACGAGTTGTGTCAGTTTCTCGTCTTCTGCAGGCCTCCAATGCCCACGTGGGCATAACTTCCTCTCCTCCCCCATGAATTTCTTCAGATCAAGCCTTCGCTGCTTTATTTACTGCTGTATCACCAAATTGAAATAGGAAAAGAAGAAAAAGCATAACAAGAAGCTGAGGATACAGAATGCAGTAAGGATTATGTTGGCTCAGCTTTGGATGAAATGTGTCTTTCATTATATATACATGTCAATTTATCATTTGCAGCATTATGTGCGTGCATGAATCAATATAATTCTCAAAATTTAAGTTGCGTCTTTGCTTTTTGGTCCCCAAATTAACTTCTCTAACAATACTCTCTTAAATAAATTATTAATTGTTCTTCTAACATGTCTTAATCAACTAATTGTTCTCCTAAACATATTATAATCTCTCTCTCTCTCTCTACCTTTCACTTTCTTCTTTAGGAAACTTTTCAAATTTTAGAGGAACATTTTTGGGTATTTATATAATTATATCCATCATGAATTGTCGTTTTTTTTTAAAAAAAAAAGAAATAATACAAGTTTTCAGCTTTAATGAATGTGTTCCTAAACTTTCTATATTTAATGAATATAGTACTTTATTTATTAATAATAATTAGGTAATTTTTTTTAAATTGCAACGGTTCAATTTGACTATTATGATCACACTAACGATCTTTTCAATTGAAATTCATCTTATTTGAGCTAGGATTAATCGTAAGAGCACTCACATGGCATGTAGGCCTTTACTTAGTGAACCCTAATTAATTACTAGTAGAGAATTTAAGACTAAATCTCAATGGAGCCCATGAACTATATTATAAAGAGCACCCACAACCGTGTACAATAATAGGCTTTTTGATCATGATCTTAAGTAGTACGTCCGTATGTGCATGAAAACTGAACAGGATTTATCAGTAAGAAGAAGGAGGTGGTGGTAGCTGTTCAATTAATTGGAATGAAGGATGTGAAAACATTTTGCCAGAAAAAGGTTGCTAAGATCATGCCGGTTCTGTAAAGAGAGCATCATTACTTGGTTGAAGAAGAGGAAGGCCATCCCGCATGCAAACAAATGGCCGTCCTTATACCATCAATACTACAATATATAATGGATTCAGTTTCATATTCAACTACTTGTGTACGTCCACACTTATTATTACCCCATCTCTTCCCATTATAAGCTTTACTTCTTATAATCCTTGTAAAACTCTTACTTCTTATCTATATATCTATATTTATATAACACCGCGCTGTTATTTGTGTGGTCCTTCGGGCGGTGTTATTGGCTTTATTCACGGGTGCTATTGGAGTTGTTTTGTGGGGGTTATTGCAGTGTTATCATTGTGTTATTTGCGTGGTCCTCCGGGCAGTGTTATTGACGTTGATCATTAGTGTTATTGTGGTGTTATTGTGATGTTATTCGAGTTGTTTTGTGAGGTTATTGAAATGAAATCGTGGTACCGATGGTATTTCGGTGTTATTAAAGTTGTTTTTCCAATAACATCATAATAAATACATTTTCGTCATTATTTGGTGGGCTCTCAGATACTCGTGTCAAGATTTATTGGAGTTTGGACTCCATATGTAGCATTTTTTCCAAAGGGACAGACATTTTAACCCTTTTTAGAACAGTCTAAAGACAAATTTGATATTTTTATAAGCTCTTGGATTAAGAAGAACTCCCTGCAAACACGAGCGATCATTTTCAACTTACTTTTAAAATTCATGTTGAGTGGGAGAAGTAATTAAATATATATATATATATATATATGATAGATTAATGGTACAAGCTAGGTATCACACAACACCTTATGCTACAAATATGGGAATTAGTTGAGAAATAAAGAGAAGTAGGGCCACCTACTGTATATTGTTTGTAATATTAATTTAGTCATTTAGACACGTAACAGAATTCCATTGTGGACTAGCTTTATGGCTTTCTTCCCGGAATAACCAATTACTATATGAAACCTCTCCCTCTAACTACTCACTAACCCATAATTTAATTATTATTTGATGAAATTTGGTTATTTTAGTATGTGTGAGAGGTAGAAAAATGCATAGAAAACATGTAAAAGGAGATTGACAGTTAGTAAAATCATTAAAAAATGGGGGCATTTGCATACATATCACCCAATTCCTATGTTTTTATATATCCAAATTAACACCTAAATTTTACTTTTGTACATTTACACCACCAAATGCTTTCATATCACATTAAAAAAAATCTCCACTTCAACCTTTTAAAAGGTAAAATACATCTTTGCATGCATTGGTAAATGATGTTTCAGCATTAGATTTGTGCATGCACATAGGAATTGAGTTGGTATGCACGTAAATGTTGCAATGACAATATATAGGGCCATGAGGATGTTAATTGATTAATATTGGTGCTATATGTTTGAAATCATTTAATTACTGATTCAAAAGTGTTTGAATGAAAGGCTTACAGAAAGCAACAATTGTACCAGGACAGTCATATTAACTTCAGGCGGGCATCCATTTCAATAAATAAATGTAATTCAAAAACATACAGACCACGCAATTCTTCTCATTTATTTTTCTAACAATTAAATTTACATATTTATATAAATGTAACACTTATATCCTTAGCATCACATCATATATAATATTATCATTAATTTTTTAAAAATGAAATACATATTTTCATGTAACCTTACATTCGTGTAAGAAGGATATAAGAGAGAGATGGTGATGAAGTTTCAGAGATGATCTCAAGGATCGGCAAGAGGTAAAAAATGGCTTAGAGGAGGTTTTCTAGATTAAAATATTAGATAGAGAGAGAGAGAGAGAGATATTGAAAAAAGATCTTGCATCTCCTTCTCTCCTCTTGACTTCTCTTTTCTAAAAGAAAGAAAAAAATAATAGAAAATACACTTAATACAATATGACAGCCATACATTGAATCTTAATGAAAAAAATTATGATGTGAATGTCAAGAGACACCATTAAAGGAGAATGAAGAATGCATTCTTAATGGTAATAATAATCTTCCATAATAGTTGTCCCTATCTTATTACGGGTTGGGTTATCTTCTTAGGAGACGAGATTCAACTACTTCAGCATGTAGGTTTGATTCAACCACTTCAACAGTGGGCTTGATACATCATATTATTTTAGATGCTTAGAATACTCAAAAGAGTATATATATATATATATATATATATATACCAAAAAAGGAAAAAAAAAAAAAAAAGGTGGTGCAAATTATACAACTTTCGAAAACATGAATTCTTCTCCTTTCCAAGTTTTGCTCAATAAAAACGTTACAAGTTAGGCATCAAAGGGTTGATTAATAGTGGAGAAGGCCATTGATGGACAACCATTTACAGTAAAGAAAAAAAACTAGTGATATTAATTATGACGTCAAATATGTTGAAAAGAATAAAGAAAGAAATTCTCCAATCTGCACAGAACGACTAAGTCCGTGGACATAAAGCCATGCGCACGTGGGCTATGCATTGTTTGATCAATTTCATGCAACAACAATCAACAGCACTCTTGGAATAGAATGTCGGGCTGATTCTACTTACTTTCAGAGTTTATGAACATAATATACATAAATAGAATCATATATTTACTAAATATTACACTATAATAACACACAGCTTTGATCCATATACTTTATTAACTAATGATTAAATATTATTAAAATCTCAAGCTCATGGAAAATTTTTCAAAATTAGAAAACCTCCAAAGCAGGAATTCCGAATTTTGTAGCTAATGCCCGCTTTACATAATTCTAATAATATGATGAGAATTTACCCCCTACATGAGGTTTTATTTTTCAGTTCAATATTAAACTTATTTCTGGGAAAATATAAACATATATATATATATAGAAGAACTAGACCAAGGTGGATTCGCATTAAAAACTATTAGTAAAATGCAAGATGTTATTATGAAGATAAGAGGGATACAAGCAGTAGAGGAAGACAAGATGGAAGAAAAATGAAATGTTGCTGTCTTCTCTAAAATTTAAATGGGAGTTGATATATGGCATTAAGATGATGGTAAATGTTTACAAAATCACGTCCAACCGGTGAGACCAAATTTGTCGGCAACGTTGTACATTACAAGGCCCTCCCACACCGGACCAAAGAGCCGCACGCCTCCAATTGCAAAAGTGAGAGCCCATGAAGAAAGCAAGACTGTGAAGATTAAGAAGCCGATGGCTGAACCAACAACATCTGCATCAGAATTTCGATTGCTTCATAAGATTCCATAAAATCTAACTTCGGTGCAAATACAAATAGTTCAGAGTTGGTTCATACCACCATATATATATATATATAAGAATTGGTACACTGTAAGTGGAAGAAGAAATTTATGAGAAGCCACTCAAAAATACTTATTATGACATGCTTTAATGGGAAATAATAGGACTCAACTAGCCCAGTAGAGTCACAATGCTAATATAATATGCAAACTAATCACAATATATATGACTAGTAAAACATAAAACAAATAAATCAACATCAACGCCCATGCAACTGTATTGACTAAACATATATTTCAAATCAGCTAGTATAATACATTTAAGCTCAACAATATACATACACACATACATATGTATACCAGCTCACAGCCAATTTAACTAGTGAAAATTCTTTGTCATCTATAATTATCACCTTGGGCAAAAATTTTCACCAGTAGAGAAAATTCAAAGATCAGGAATATTATGCAGATTTGTAAGGTTGCAATAGTATGGAGATGAATACTGACTGAATGCATGCAGAAAATATAATACTAGCAAAAATTTGCGTGTCTACGACTGTGTACCCATATTTCCAAAACATTTATCCCAGGGAAGAATGAAAAGAAAACCAAGCACTGATCCTAAAGAAACATGTGACTAATACTCATAACATCAATATTCAGAGAAAGTGTTCCTATGACTAAATCCAAAGGCTCTGTTTATTTTATGTCACAAAAAACAAGTTTAAAAGGAAATGGAAATAGAAATGATGAAGGAATAGAATCGAAATATGTTTTACAATTTGTTTGGCTGAAAAGAAATTAAGAGAAAATATATAAATTTTTGCATTCATGTTTAAATGAAGAAAAATTGAGTTTTTGCTTCTAATGAGGAAAAGAGGCATTCAAGTTGAGTTGAAGTCGTGAT